TAAAAACACCTGAGATCCTGTTGTCTACCCGGAGAAGTACCGTGGAGGGAGGGAGACAGATGAATCCTGTGGAACCCTAATTGTTCGTGCCCGGGTCTGAGTGAATAAAGCCTAGATGCCCCAGGCACTTGGGGTTCTTTGTCGAAAGGAGGGAGACAAGAGACCCCTGTGCTCCCCCCTGCTCCTGATTTTAACCTGATTCTGTCTCTTTATTTTTCATCCCCATCTCCCCTTGGTCAGCTTCAAGCTCATAGACTGGATCCTATACCGTTCCCCTCTAGCTTTTGCCAGTGATCCCATCAGCTGAACCTAATGGGCCAGCTGGGCTTGAGGGAGCCAGTTAATGTAGCCTCTCTGGGTGGTCCTCTTCAGTCACTGAGCAGGAGGAGAAGGGCACAGAGAGGTCCTAGACGAACACAGAAGCCACATAGCACACACACACACACACACGGCCTGTTCTTGATTTTGACCTGTTACTAGACACATACATAGATACTTTTTTTGTTTGCACTTTGGGGGACCCAGAGATAGGCTCCACAATGTGGGGAAAAGGGGGCTGAATGATCAAGCATCAGATAAAGTACGTCTTGAAAGTCAGAGTAGGACATCTGGGCATCTCGGCATTAACTCCAATACAACAGCCTCCAAGATGGCATTTTATGTAGATTGAAGATGACTCACAGGGCTCACTGCCATAAAAATTCATCATTGGTTTGACCTCAGTATTTTGGTGCAAAGAAATCTAAATTTTATCCTCAGAAAACCAGACCCATTCTCTCCTAATTGAAAACAAAATGCAAATCAAAGATCCTTCTGTTGCATTGGTGATGCTACCTCCAATTGCTTCCTCATCAGTCCAGGTACAAAGATGCTACTCACTGTCCACTTTACTCCCAAATGTCCTCATTATGGGAAGCAAGGCTGTCTTCATACCAGTCTCATTTTCTAGTTTTGAATGGTCATTTTTTTGCCTGCATTTCAATTTTGCCTTAATTCAAAATACAAGACACTGCCAAATGTGCAGAGTGGAAGAAAAAAGGTCACTCAGCTACTTCAAGGCCTCTGAGATTAAACATGGAAAACTTGGGTCCTCAGATGCTGGTGGGAGCTGCTGCAGGGGGGACAGAGGGTGCAGGACACAGAAGGTTCCCTCCCATGCCTCCCGGGGGACCCACAGTGCCTTCTGGTTCCAGCCTCTCCACTGGTGCCGGGGAGGTGCTGAGGGCTGAGCAGGAAGCAAGCACTGAGAACTGTCAGGAACCATCCACCTGGTTGTCATTTCCAAGGATGAACATGGTATATACTGGGCTATTTTCTTCTGAAATTTTATTTTTAAAAATATATTTGAAGGGCTATAGGGTTAAGAAGGTGGTGATTTTAAAAAATGATTTTCAACACTGTGCTTTATTCCTCACTAGCTATTTGGGTCAACCATAAACGCTCCCCAGAGGCAAGTACCAGGCTGGGGGTTGGGGGGTGGACGTGCCCAGAGTGAAGGGTGAGAGTGTGACTCATCCTCTGTGATCTTGAGCAAGGAGTCACCATTTCTGGGACCCGGCTTCCTTTTCAACATAAGAGGACTGGTTTAGATGAATTCAGAATCGTTTTCTTGTTCTAACATCATTATTTATGGCAGCCATTGTTAGTCTCATGCAGCTAAAACGCACACCAGGTTTCAAAGATTTCGTACAAAAGCAAGTGTAAAATATCTCATTAATTTTCATATCATATGTTGAGATATTTGTGGGGTTATTAAGGTAAGTATGAAAATTAATTTTGCATGTTTGTCTTTACTATTTGTTTTTTGAGACAGGGTCTCCCTATGTAGTTCAGGTTGGCTTTGAACTCACTATATAGCCCAGGCTGGCCTTAAACTCATGGCAGTCCTCCTGCCTCAGCCTCCCAAGTGCTGGAATTAGAGGTGTGTGCCACCACACCCAGCTGTCTTTACTTTTTAAAAATGTGACTACTAGAAAATTCTGAGTTACCCATGTGACTTATATTTCTATTGGACAGAACTGTTTAAATATGTTTCTAGGTCCCTATTTCTTTTGTGTACACATCAAATTCCAGAAAATTCAAAGTAGCTTTGCTTAGAAAAAATGTTGCATCATTCTCCATTCAAAAGTCTTTCAAAAAAAAAAAAGTAAAAATTTCATATCACATTGGCTAAGTGTTTAGGGGAAGGAACATCAATGTTTCTTAAACTAAAATTTCATCTCCATCTCTTTTGAATGAAGCTGAGGTGGTAGTCTTTGGCACCTCAGAGCAGTAGAACTTTTCTAGATTCCAGCCATATGAAAAAGAAGTTTCAAAGTGAAAATCAGACCCCCACCCTCATCCCCCAGACACGAAGCATCTCTCTTCCCTGTGAGGGACAAGTATTTGGGAAGCACCTAAATGCACAACTCATGGGATCCAAAAGACACGTTCAGTAACCACTTCCTGCTTGGCTTTAACTTTCAGGTCAAATAGACACAAGACAGCAAATGTGTTATAGGACTGGGATGTGGGCAGAAAGCAGAGGGAAGACTCGGAGGCTCCTGTGAATGGAGCAGGGGGTGCCCGCTGCAGACATTGAAGATAAATACACACACCACCATCAGGTAGGGCCTTGCATGTCAGGAAGAAGTCAGAGGATGGGAAGCAAAAGGCAGTGGTCTGAGTGACCTATGGAAACCATGTTTTAGGGATGTCACTGTCCTCTGCCATGCTATTATAAGTGTATGTCCCCCAGCTGGAGCTCCTCATTAGAACCCATCACCACTTCATATCATTCCCTTACTGACTTGTGTGTATTTAGGCTTCCCCAAGAGAGTGATACATTCCTCAGCCTCGAGGGTGAGAACCAAGGTTGACATTTCTTTTGAACATCAAGGCAGACCTGGGCACAGAATAGATGCTCAATCCCTTTAAAAAAAAAAAAAAAAGTGTGACACCATTTCCTCTTTCGTAGATTTCACAAGGGGAAGTGAAGAAAGAATCCTAATTCCTAACAAGGGTTCCCCAAGAGTAAATCCGGGCTTTTCTCCTTTATCCCTGGGTTCTTACCACCAGTGTCTTGCTGCCAAAACTCCTAGGCCCCACTATGTGTCTCTGGAGCCCATAGCTCTCCCTTTTTTTCACCCAAACAGTCCCTGGACTGCACTGCTAGCTGATAACCTGCTTAAACCCGATGGATGGCCCTCCCCAGTTTACCCAAGACCATTCAGCTGAGTTCACGTGGTCTGAGGAATCAACATGACACCCATGAGAGGAGGTTAAAGGCATTGGGAGTTGTTACTAGAAGTTTTCTGTGGTTCCATGAATAAGAAACAATACCCAACTATGATTTAGGAGGGAGACTAAAGTTGGTTAGAGCTGTAGCTTTTCCTCGGCCAGGAAAAGAAGGTAACTACTGTTTAGATCCCAGAAAACTTAGAAAACCTGAATTCCTATTCAGTCATCCACATTCCTATCCTCCTCTAAACTGGTCTTATAAAGTTACTTCAGGAAGAAACAAGGAGTAACATTCCCTTCCCTCAACTATTCTTTAGTTAACTTTTTAAAGCTTTTCCCAGGTGAGAACTCAGATTAATACTGTGAAATGTAGCAGAAAACCTCTGGAAAACGTCACCTCCACATACTGTGGGGATCCTGGATCCCCAACTAAAATCAGAGTTAAAAGCAGAAGCAGATAGACTGCAGCAGATACGAGTGAAATTTGGTTTGCAGAAGGTGTTATCTCTGGGGCCATATTTACATTTCTTTCTTTTTTCCTTATATCCCATATAATACAGAATGGATGCCTGGCTGCTATGTATGCTGTTATTTTTTTGCTTAATAGAAATGATGGGTTCTTGAGGAAGTCGCTGCTCTTTTCGCAGCAACTCTAGTCTGGATGAGGACTAGTTCTTCACCCAGCAACCTAACTGCAGCAGCGCTGGGTTAAAGCCTGTGCCCCATAAGCTCTCTCGCCAACGTCGGCCAGGCAGCAGCCAAGCTGTGAACCTTTCCCTCCTCTGCATCAAAGCTGGAGGGGGCTCAGTTCCAAGTCCCGGCACTAACTCCACCCCATGTGCTCCTCCCAAGAAAGTCTGGCTTTGTGTTTCTCTAATTACACAACCGCCAGCAAGTCTGACTTTCCTCCACAGAGCAAACGCCACCTCCAGTACCTCCTGGCCCCAGGAAATCTCTCCTTTAAACTAGCAAGCTACGCATCCTTCAGAAAGATTCTTGCAGGTTGAAAAGGGATGCTTGGAGTGCTAGCCAGTAGGAGGAGGCTGCCATGGCAGAGTAGGCGGGACAGGGAAACCATCTTCTAATTCTTACCTTTTAAGACTGCTGGCTGTTCGAGTACCCAGTGACTATCATCCTCTCATTTCTAAGATGACACCAGTGTAAGTATTCTGGTAGCAGGTCAGAGTGCTGTGTGTTGTTGTATAACTGGACAATCATGCTTACAGCTTGTGAGTGCGTTGACCCAAAAGCATTAAAAAAGCGAGAAGCATGACCTGCTCCTCTTTCTTATTCTCCACCAACACTGTGCTGAAGGAAGTTTGGATTTTTAAAATAAATCATCCGCTCTTAATTTAAAAAATATTTTGGGATAAACGTAGGTTCACATAGGTTGTAAGAAATAATACAGAGATCTCTCAAGGCTTCACCCAATTTCTCCCCGGTGGTAACATTTTGCCTAACTGTAGCACGTAGCACAACCAGGAAGTTAGCTTAATACAGAGGGCCTTGTTCAGATCTTGCCTGGGTTTCACACGCTCGCGCGCGCGCGCGTGCGCGTGTGTGTGTGTGTGTGTGTGTGTGTGTGTGTGTGTGTGTGTGTGTGTGTGTGTGTGTTCGTGTTCTATGCAATCTCACCACCTATTTGCTCTGCCTCGGAGCTCCGGCTCTGCTGAGGACCTTCTGTGTGATCCTCAGCAAGCTCTGACTTCGGGGAGATCCAGTTTCCTCGTCTGCTCTAAGGTCCGCCTCCTCTGGCGGCCGCTGTGAGGACCCTTGAGATCATTTCTGTGGCGTTCCCAGCACACCAGATTCCCAGGAACTGTTGGCCCTTGCCTGTCTTCTGCCTGTTCTCCCCAGCCAGGAAGCTTTCTTCAGCTTTTTCGCAGAAATAACCAGACGTGGGGTGGTAGCGGCTCAGGTGGACCCTTCTCCCAGGGGCTATGCCTACTCGTGCAGCTCGCCGCGGGCCCTGAGCGTGGCCTGGGCCGCCAGCCTGGGTGGACTTGGGATCGTCTGGCCGCACGGAGGTAGAAGAGGGGGTGGAGGGGATGAGAAAGGGCTCTGCAAGAGCTGGGTGGGAGGCGGCGGTAAATGCCCAGTAACCGCTGACCGGGAACCAACTCCAAGGGGTTTCTGTCCCGCGCCGCGTGGCTGCGGGTCTGGGGCGCCCACTGCCGGCTCACGGCGCGGAGACCTGCGAGGGCGCGGCGGGCAGGTGCGGTGCCACCCGCGCGGCAGGAGGCCCGGAGTCTCGTCCAGACCCTGCCGTCCCTGGACCCCTCTCCCTACGGCGGCTGGGGGCTCGGGCAAGGGGCGTCCGAGTCCCGAGCTGGAGGCCGCGCTCCGCGGAGTGGCCTGGGCGCGTCCGGAAGGTAAGGGGAGCCGGGGGCAGGACCCCCTCTCCCGCGCCCAGCCGGGTCCCCGGCTGGACCTCGGGCCGGGCTCCGGGCGGCGCCGCTCCTCCCCGCCCGCGAGGCCCGGCCCCTCCTCCGCGCGGCCGTGCTTCCTCTCGGCTTCCGAGCTCCGGGTGGCGGCGGCTGAGCGCAGGGCGCGGCCATCCCGCTCCGCCCGCCGAGCCCCAAGCGCCCGCGCCATGGTCCCCGCGGCGGCGCCAGGCGCCTGAGCCCCAGGACGCGGTGAGCTGGGCGCGGAGGCCTCGCGCTGCCCACGGGGTCCCAGGGCCTGGCGGGTCCCAGGCCCGGGCCAGGCGGAAGCGGGGGCCGGGCCCGGCCCGGCCCGGCTGGTGGCCCCAGGGATGGGAGGAGGGGCGGGAGGAGGTGGCTGCAGCCCGCGGCCGGCATGCAGTTGTATGCGCCCCCTTGCGTACGGAGATGACTCGCGGGTCCCCAGCCTCCCTTTGAAGGACGCCCGCTCGGAACCGCTCGGAACCGCGCGCCGGCTGCCGAGTGTCGCCGCGCCCGGGCCCTGACAAAGCGCCCTCCTCGGCTTTGCAGAGCGCGGGAGGCCGCGGAAGGTGGGCGGGCAGGGGCGTCGGGCGGGTCTGGTGCGTCCCTGCCCCGGCAACCTGGGCTGCGCACCGGTGCAGCCACCGCATCCCCGTGGCCCCAGCGGGCAGCGCGGGCTGAACGATGATGATGCGTGGCGTTTGTTGGTCCGCGGGTGACGCCCGTGACGAGGCTGGGGAGACCCGCGTGGGGGCCTGAGGGGTCAGCCGCGGCTGAGGAGCGCGGGGCAGTTGGGAGGGAGCCCTGAAAGTGGGGATTGCAGGCGGAGTGTGGGGTCCAAGCGGATGGGGAAGCTTTGCCGGTGCGGGTCCTGGGGAGGGAAGGGAAAAAACTGCGACCCTCGGGGTCTTTGCCCCAGGAGCCTCAGGGCAGGGCGCTTCCAGGGCTTCTGCAGCTGCCAAACTGTCCCCACCCGAGGACAAAACTGATGGGGAAACGGTCACCGCCTAACATTTTCTGTAAAATTGAAAGAGCGATAATTTTCCTCCCAGCCCTGACAAACCAGATTTAAAGTGCACATGAAATGGGAGCTGAATGTGTTGTCACATCGAGCTTCTAAACAATTTAGTTATTGTGACATCTTCAGCTCTCTCCAGTTCCCTGGGACAGATCTCCCTCCCGATGTTGAGGAATTAGAGACCGACTTGCCATACAACTGAACTCCTGAGTTTATGAAATCAAACCAGATTGCATAGCTGTCCTTGGTAACTGACACGGCAGCTTTTGCAGCTGAGAATCCCAGCATGGCCCATGAACTGGACTCCTGGGGCCAGGGAAGATTTTCTCCTCGGGTTCCCTTAAATATGTTGACGTAAATGTGTCTGTTTCCACGCTTCCGGGGGCTTGGCAGTCTACCAGGAACTGTATACTTTTTCTGTCTACATAGTTTTGTCTTGAGTCTTCTCTAGTAGTGAGCATATTTATATTGGTGGCTGAGCTGGAATGTTGGTAAATCTTGCTGTGGATTTTGAAGGTAGCTGTGAGATTCCCAGATTGTGTGTAAGAATAACACTTCGGGTGGCTAAAAAAATGAGTTTGTGTGGTCTCCTCCACTGCTGTGTTCTTCAGAAGGTGATTGTGAACTTCTGGGGGCTTTGTCCCTTTTCACCTATGCTGTGTGGCTTCTTTGGAAGCAAACATTCTGAGCTACGGCGTAGGTAAAGCAGATGGGTTGGAGACCTAAGCAACTCGGGGAGGAAGTCATCATAAGCAAGTCCTTTGCATGAAAATGTCAAGGATCAGTCATGTTGATAGGCACTTGCTCAGAATGGCATGGGTTCCTTTTTTCTTATTCCTGTTTTCATTTTAGATATGTAACGACCCTTAACATCAAAAGACGTTAACTCACATGGGGAGAGGAGGGCTCCAATGAATTCTGAACAGCCAATCCTAATTTCGTAGGCAGTGTTCTTATCATGAGTCAAATGTTGTTCAAATAAATTGTTTTAAATGTCACTGCAAATGACTTTCTAAACTAACATTTTACCAATCTTGATGCTTCCATTTTACATTGATAATGAAAATACATTTTATCGGCCTTACATTGATAGAGGGTTGGCAAGTTTAGCCAGAGCCCAAAGCCTTGTCAGAAGGCTTATTTTTATAGATGTCAATTCTTTTGTAAGCCAGTAAATAATTTGACTTGAATTTTGGTTATTCATCTTTCATCTCTTGGGCAGAGGCTTGTGGAGAGACTTACTGAATCTTACAAAAAGATCTTTTTCCCATTTGCAAATAAAGTGAAATTTTTAGAAGATTATAGTATTATGCAAGTGAAATTAGTATGCTTCTTTATTGCAGTTTGTGCCAGCAATTAGACAATTACTTAAGCTTTTGCTTGGAAAAGACAACAAAGCATCTGTAGCTAACTTGAAACACAAAATTGGGAAAATGATTTTTATAGATGTGAGAATAGAAGCTTTTATGCCACAGGGAACTGTACTCATGGCTTCAGGCACCCTAAATTAATTTGAGTAAATATGGCTCAAAAAGTGAGTTGTTACAAGCTCTCTCTTTTTTAAAAAAAGAAAAAGCAAAGCTTTGTTTTCTGCACCCCTAATTTTACTTAGTAGTTGATTATAGGTTGTTGAATCCACATTGTGCTAAGCAAATAATTTCTTTTTCCACCAGCTACTCTGCATTAACTACTTGACTGGGTAACCCACCTGCTGTTGGTTTAACAAAAGTTTAAGTTCGCTACAACTTTCAGGATAATGCTAGTAGGATACTTTCATTTCATGCAAAGTTTATAGTATAGTTAGCAAAGGTTATTTTCTTTCAAATATACTTAAATGTGACTTTTTTTTCCTGTACAGTGACATTTAAGCTTTTGTGTAATATTTTTATACTACAATTTTATCCACGGTGATACTGTGTTACTTTTGGGGTCCAGCAAAAAATAAGGTGCTACTTGAGCAGAGAGGAGGCAGTCGTCAGCTTGCTGGTGAGCAGCAGTTTTTGGCAGAAGTGTTCTATACAAACGTGCAGATGGAGGCAGTTGCTTTTCTGTTGAGTTTTTGCTGAATATGTCCTCCTCACTATTTCCCATTCTACTAAAGTTAATGCAAGATGGTAAACCTGGGAATCTTTGCAACAGATTAAAGAGTTTGCAGAAGAGAAAGAAGAAAAAGAAACATTGTAATTTGCACTAGCATTAGTGGTCTCTAACTTACCAGAGTGAAAATTAAAGTGAAAATTAAATAATGAAAAGCCTCCCCAAAGGGCATTTGTCTGTGTTCACCATTTCTGTCCCAAAGTAACCAAATTAGTCATTTAGTGGTCACTGCCTGGTCTGTGGACCCCCAACAGCTATGTCTCAGCACAGGTCTCAGAGCGTCTATTATGATCCCTGGAAAGGCAGGAGGCTGAGCTGAGGGGGCTCAGACAGTCCGAAGAGCTATTCAGCTTCTGGACCATCTGGAGGGGAAATAAAAGGCCTGGGCCAGGGACTCTGGCATTGTGCTTATTTATTATTTGGTTTTCGCTTGCCAGACTTTGTCCTCTTTTCACTCCCTCCATCCTAGAACAGAGTGCTCTTTGGCTGGGGTATCCTTCTTACATGCTCCTTTCTATACTTTGGATGCTGGCAAGTTCATCAGTTCACATATGCACTTCCTGCTGGCCTTATGCTGGCAACTTCATTATTCCAGCCACACCTCCACCTAGTTCCTTTGCAGCCCTAGTTGGCACTGTGATTCCATCATCTGCGGTTCCTGAGGGGAATATAACCGCACAGATCTGTAATGGACATCCCTGTCAGAGTCTGCAGCATTTTGGCAGCCTTGTTTTGAGTTATTTGGAAGGAAAATGCTCCGAATAATTGTCATTGTGGGTGTTTGTTGGGCGGTAAATGTTTTGATTAATGGCTCTGGGCATCTGCCTCTTATTTAACTCTCCCTAGTTAGAATGCCAAAATACTGCCCACCCTGGCCTCTTTATTCCAAAGCAGTCATAAAAGCTTCTGACCATTTGATTGGGAAGGTCATTGGTAAAGAAAGGCCCAGGTTTATGGCAGTCTTCATAAAACTGGAATTGTTCTTTGCAATTGGAAGGAGGATTTATTGCTCAGAAGCAAACTTTTAAAATCTCCAAATAAGATTCCAGCCCCCTATGGGTGTCAGTTAGGTGTTGGCTCAGTGAGGCATTAGATTGGGCACACTAGAAATAGTTAAATATTTCTTTGGGGGAAGCAGTATAACATCAATTTCTGAGCTATGCCCATTGTCAAAGATAAGGGGTTCTTCATGATCATTTTAAATAAAAATTTCTTCCTGGGCCCAAATCCCAGAGCTGCTTTAGAAGAAAAGAGTGTTTATTCCGTCTGTTTCCCTAGAGCATTGTATGCTATAATCATTCAGTAAATGGGCTAGGGGATGTAGGGGGAGGCAATCCCACCTTTCCCCATTCTGGGTTGGAAAAGTGTAGCCACGGAGTGGTCCAGGGTGGTTTCTGGCGCTCAGTACTGTTGAGCTGGCTGACACAAAGGTGAGGATAGGTGTGCCAGTGGCTTCATTTCGGGGGTCTCATTCATGTGTTTCATGCACGCTGAGGGACAGTATCATTTGGAGTCACACTAGAGTTCAGTTCTTGGCTTCAGCTCATATTAGTGCTGTATCCTTGAACAAGCTGCCTAAGTTTCCCCAACCCCAGTTTCTACATCTTAAATGGGGCTATGATCTGTATACTTCAAAGAATTGGGAAGATTAAGGTGACACTCATAGCAAATGCTCAGAAGCAAGTCAAAGGTAATAATTTCCTCTGAATTCCTAACTACATTTCAGCCTTGTTTTTGACATTAAATATATCAGTAATCTGCCTTGAAAGATCAAGGAAGAGCTGAACATGACCTGCCGCTGTTACTGTGCAGTAATAGAATGATGTTTATATACCTTGCTCTCTCATTGCCCAAGCTCTGTTCTGTTCTATGAGCCTCACATCTCCTGCTGTGCTGTGTGGAAGGTAGGTTTATGGCTGGTTGACTTAAGTTACGCCTCCTTTGTAAACCTCAGGCACTTTCTTGGTTGTTTTTCAATTCTTCTGTATGGACTTTCTCTGGGATTGATCACTCTCATCTACCTGCCATATTTACCCTCAGAATGTTTCCTCCAGATGGGTTAGTATTGCTCTTCTCATAAATGAGAGGCCTGGACAGTGTTTTAGCAGATTCTCCTCCAGAGTTTCATCCCATAGCAACAACAACCAAAAATGGGCCGGGGATTTAACTCAGTGGTTCTGCCACCTGCTTCGCAAGCGCAAGGACCCGCGTTCAATCCCCAGTACCAAAAAAGAAAACAAAACAACCAAAAATGCAGCTGTAGTTTGTGAGTCCGTTGGCTTCATCGGTAACCTGTTGAATTGTAGTCACTCTTGGCCCTCCATTATGTCTTAGACTGAAAATGCCCTGCCAGAGGACACGAAAGGGGAAATGAATGTGTGCTTGTAGAAGAAATGGGTATTTCAAAAATGTTTATATCCTCATTTCTATACATCCCATTCAGGGAAAGTTTCCTCTCAAGGAGTAGCCTTACACTAAGCAATCCATGGTGTTTACCGAGTCCCTGGTGTACTATTAATTTTGTAGATGATATAAAAGAAATAGAAGGTGTGGATCTTACCCTTTGAGAAATTTCTGCCAAAAGGGAGAAAAAATTCTTGCACATGAAATTACTGATGAACATTTGGAGAGCCATGTCAACCAGCAAAAATGCTTTCGGTGCCAGATGAGCACTGACAGCTTGTCATCATGCATAACATCTTCTGGATGTTTCAGCAGGAACATTTGTCCCACAGGAGTGGGACTTCCCCCCACCCTTTGGTCAAAAGAATGTTTTCATAAGCAGTGTCTTGGGAAGGGGGAGATGAAGGAGACAGATCAGAGAGGAAAACTACCATAAAATGAAAGAAGTTTGTTTTCATGGAAATCCAACGTCTTCCCCAAAGCGGGGGATGATAGCTTATCAAATTCAAAGCAGCAGAGATCACAACTTCTTGGTACATTATGAGTTTTGTTGCTCTCTCATTAGATGGACAAATTGCCATCCCTTCAAAATAATTTTGAAAAGGGGAAGTGTTGAAATTCTTTTGCTTTTGAATATGCAAAATCAAGGTACAACAGTTTGGCATTTCTGAAGTTGATCAGATTACAGCCCAGGGGACCAAAAACCTCTGAGTGAGCCTGAGAGCTATGGCAACAAGAAAGTCCCAGAGCATCTTGGGGATTCTTAGCAGATCTAAGTTGACAATTAGCTGGGACCCTAGGTGAATCTCATTGGCCTGTCTAAATTTCTGCCTCTTGTGGCTTTTCCCCGCACTTTGGTATTTCTTTTCTGATGCTTTGCTGTTTATATAGCACTCTCATCTTATTTGGAAAACATTTACATAGTGATTAGTTAACCCAACAGACTGAATCCTGGGAAGGCAGCCAGAGCCAGCAGCACCTTAGCAATGGCAAACTGCTAATAAGAGAGGAGACCTCCCCAGGACCCAGAGCCTGGGCCCGAACTGTGCCAAGTGGCTTTAATGAATAGCCCTCGTAGACCTTGAGCTTGTGGCAGAGCTGTTCAGATTCATCTTCTGAATCCACCTAGTTTTCTAGGGCCGTGGCTCTATTTTTTAAGAAAGCAAGTGGTCTAGAGCAGTGATCATGAACCTTTCAAAGCTTTTAGTGATACAGATAGCCCATTTCCACGTGTGTGCCATAGGTTCGCCACCACTGGCCTGGAGCAGTACAACTGATAGATCACTAAAAGCACTTTCATCTTCAGCTCTGGCTGTGTTCAACATCCTAACTTACCTGTCCCCCCTATAGTAATGATCTGCTCCCTGGAACACCACCTCATTCAGGGAGTTTCTGACCCAGGGCTTAGTTTAGTAAAAAGTGCTGCTTTTGTTGGTGGGGGTCACGGCAATGCTGGGAAATGAACCCAGGGCCTCGTGCAGGCTAGGCTAGCAAACTGCCTCACAGCTGCTCCCCCAGCTCCTAGTTAAGGTGCTGCTTTTATAGGCAAGGGGCTGGCTGAGAGCCTGGCTGCTGATGGCTGATGTCACTGTCTCAAGGGGGTATATTGTGTTTAGCATCCATTACATCATGGCCCGGTTTCTTCCAGATGTGCAGGTTTCAGGCCTGCATTGGAAGATCTACCACATGAAAAATCAATTATTGTGCAAAGCAAAAAGCTTTTTAAAGTGTGATGTTCCTGGAATTTTATGATATATATTTTTAACAACAACAAAAAAATGACTCGAGTTTTGATGACTCCCAAGTTTTTACTCATCCTAAGGAGAGTGGAGGAATGGACAGCCTGGGGTTGGGGTGGGTCAGAGAGAGGAAAGATGGGGCAGCCAGGGGAAAAGAGTGAGATGCTTGGGATGGGGGAGGCACCCCAAGATGCTGTAGGATTCATATAAGGCAGCCTGTGGCTCCTTCAAACTGTTGGAAAGGTTGGAGTGGTGTTTTCCCCTTTCTCTAGGCAACTGAGCCTCACCTCAGACTCCTTGGGAATCCATCGGGCTTCAGGGAGTACCCTTCCTGTCACACCGCATGTAATTGCACCCATGAAGTTAATTGAGTTGCTTTTGGGAGAACGCGTGTAAAAGGCATCTGGTCTCCTGTAAACAAGGAGGTGGTTTTGTAGCAGACGTGTTCAGCCAGGGTCTCTCTCTGAAGCCTCCTGCGTAACTATTCCAGGGGCATCGAGGCTGGACGAAGTAGAACTAATCAGGATGGCCACATTGCCAGCATCTGGGCTGCTGTTGAGAGCTTGCTAACTTGCGGGAAGGCCCTGACTGTGGAGTCGGTTGGTGCTACCAGTTTGCTCACTTGAACCCAGTGCCAGAAGTAGCCTGTCACCTCTCGAAATTGCTGGCCAGATGAGCTGACAGGGAGAAAGCAGCTCTTGGACTTGAATTTGCAGACTAGCCGTCCACCTGAGGACCAGGCAGGAGAGGAGGGGTGCTCGGCCTACGTGACACCTTGTTCTGGTAATGTTACCCCCAACTTGATCCGACCTTGTGGATACTCCCCTGGGGTGAGTGTGTGGCCACAGCTGGTTCCTGGAGAGCCCCAGGGCCTTGTGGTGGGGTGTGCTAGAAATAGAGTGCTGTATATTCAGAGAGGTGTTGGCTGCCCCGGGAGGTAAGTGTGCCGGGGTGACCTGCCCCAACCTGTCCTTGTCTCTGTCCTGCACAGGTGAGCGCCGTGGGCTATGGGATGGATGAGGTGGAGCAGGACCAGCATGAGGCCCGACTCAAGGAGCTGTTTGACAGTTTTGACACCACAGGCACTGGGTCCTTGGGACAGGAGGAGCTCACCGAGCTGTGCCACATGCTGAGCTTGGAGGAGGTGGCCCCGGTGCTGCAGCAGACACTGCTTCAGGACAATCTCCTGGGCAGGGTAAGGTCTGGGGGAAGTGGGTGTGGTTTCTGCCAGGGTGGGGAGGGTGGTGCAAGCCACATATATTGCTCCTTGTTTCTAGCAACCTGACCGTTAACCTAGGAAAGAAGAATGTAACAGGCGGGACATAACAGTGTAGTTGCTGGGGTGACAGAGCCGGCTTTAGTTAGTGACATGGAATCGAGTTGTGCACCAAGCATTCTCCATAGTGGATGGGATGTTTCCCAAGTTTTTGCTGATTCTTTTGGATCATTTCCTTAGCGGTGCCTTTGTCAGGGGGACAGAAAGGAGGGGGTGAGATTTTAGTGGAGGAGAAGAAAGAGAAAGTAAGAAAACTGCCTTTCACAGAAAAGGGGGATTTCTGTTACAGTTTTTATTCCTCAGAAAACTATTCCTTGTGCGGATTGTTTCTGGGTGAAGTGTTAATTAAGCCTTCCACTCAGGAAATACAGCAGGAGAGTAAGTAAATACAGCCCAGCTTCATTTAAAACCCAGCACGACTCACTTCCAGCAGGGACCATGTGTGTGCCAACGTTAGTGTGCACATTTGACAACAAATATTGATGTTTTCCCCAGGAAACAAGTTCCAGACAGGTGTAGGAGGTGAGACAGGGGTCTTTTTTTCCCTCCTGCTGATTGTGGGAAGGACATCTGATCTGCCACAACTTGAGGTTTCCTTCTGTTCTTATAATGGTAATTAATGGCATCGTTTGTAAGCCTTCAAATTTTACTCTTGCTGTTGGTCTTTGAAATGGACAAGAAAATAAAACAAAGGAGGCAGTACTTCTTGAGCTGTGTTGCTAATATGGCTGACACTTTGCAAACAGTGGTTTGAATCACGTGGTGTAAATTGAGGAAGAAGTCATGAAGCTCAGCTTTTGTCTGGTGGCTGAACTTCCTTTATTGTTTTCAGTCCCTTGGCTGATGTGACGGATAAGTGACCTGAGATACAGTGCAATATATTGGCTCTCTGTAACCCAGGAGACAGGGGTAGTGCTCACCCTGCAATTAATGTACAAAAGATGATATTCTCAGGGGTTGGCACCATGAATGTGGTATCAGAGAGCTCACACTTGAGAGAATCGTGAGTTCTTTGCAAAAACTGGGGGCATTCCTGGCCACTTCGGAGCTGCTTGTATAGTTCCTAGAAAATGCTAACGATCTTGCTTTGAAAGCAGCAAAAAATGTTAACATGGGACACTGAGCTGCTTGGTCCTCATTCTGTAGTGCACTCAAATGATTTCGAGTTCTGCCTCGATTTGGACACACTAGGGAGCAAAAGAGAGGAGAGGTCCTTGCATGTCTCGGGCCTTTCTCTGTCTGAGCAAGAGCAGTAAAGGGAAGATGTGTTTTAATGCTGCTGGAAGCCTGACAAGACATACTCTGACTGACAGTCTCCTTGAGAGGGTTCCTTGGAGTCAGCGTAAATACAGCATCCTCTGCTGAAAACAGATTGCGCCCTGGCAGCACATTAACAGTTTGCCTTCCAGATGTTGCACATATTTGCCCTCGTTTGGGAGACCCAAACCAGGGAACAGTTATCAATTGATTTGTTAATGACTTGACACCACCCGCCTGCCTTTTATGTTTACAATTTTCCTGAATAATGAATACCTAAGTGGCCTATAGTGTGATATTTACTTAGTGAACCAGTGATAAAAGTTAAATAGATGTTTGCATATTGATTTCAAGTGGGAGGCCTCTGGCAATTGTCTTGAGAACAGGGTTGGCATGAATTGATGCATGAGTGTTAAATTTGCATTTTTATACAAAACTGAATTATTCTCCTCAGATGATCACATCAACTTGGCCATGTGCTGTTAACATATTCTAGATGGTCTATAACTTTAAATTATAGAGAAAAGAATCCGTAGAATCCTGGAGCAATTCAAGTGCTATATCACCTTTGTGATATACGGAATAACGATCCTAAGTTGTAAAATTATAAGATTTCTAGAAAATGAGTGTAATTTTTACATGACACATAGTAATTATACATATTCGTAGAATACAGCATGGCATTTCAGTAGATACATGTATGCAGCGCATCATGGTCAGATCAAGGTAACTGACATATCTATCACCTCACACGTGTATCATTTCCTTCTGCTGGGAATTCTGATTCCTGTCGACTATTTTGAAATATTCAGTTAATTGTTGTCAACCTTAGCTATCCTATAGGTTTTTTTTAAAGCCAGTCATCCTTCCTCTCTTTAGAAGGTGTAGAAAAACTTACAAGTGGGCTGGTTTAATAAAAAAGGAGAAAAAGTAGCATGGCACATCTGAACACATTCACCCACTCATTAATCCAAGACATTTGTACGTACTGTACTGTGCATGCATCCACGGTGTGAGTCCTTCCACTAGTTTTGTAGTGTCAGTACAACTTATTTATATTCATGTTTGCTGTGAACTACAGTTTGCCATTAAATTGGATTTGAATGCATTAGGATCCATCAGCTTCCTGGATACTGTGGCTTTAATTTTATCTTTTAAATCTTAATAAGTATAATTTGTTTTTCAGTTACTGGGAGCTGAACCCAGGGTCTTGTTCTGAGCTACATCCCAGCCCAGTTTTTTTGTTCATTTTTTGAGACAGGGTCTAAGTTGCTAAACTACTTTGGCTATCCCTCCAAAAATAATGGGATTACAGGTGTGCCCGCCACTCCTGGCTGCCTAGTGTTTGTCAGCTGTTAAGGAAAGCAATTCAGATCCACTTGCCATTTGCCATTTTCATTCATTTACTCCTCAGCCATTTTGCCTCAAATTCATCAGTCTTGCTTTACAGCTTGGGTCCATATTCTTCTGAGCAAGGTGGTTACTACACAAGTGTTTGAAATACCTCGAGCTTGTCAACCCCTGATTTGAAGGAACAGGGACAGTCCTGATATGTGTTTCTATTCTGTTATCCAAAGAGCTTCGTTCCAGTCTTTGTCATCAGTTAAGCACATGTCAGGCGAGTGAGGCCCCAGCACGGGGTGCTTCTCAAGACATCGAAGAATTTATAGTCTAGTTGGGTCATGTCTCTGGTGGGTAACAAGTGCAGAGAGGAAGTATTACCGTAATTTAAGAAAGGGAGCCCTGTTAGCTCTCTGTCTCGGTTGGGACAAAATACCCAACACTCATGACTTAAAGGAGGAGGGGTTTATTTTAGCTCACGGTTTGTAGAGGTTTCAGTCCATAGTCAGCTGGCTCCAAGGCAGGGCAGCATGGCAGAGGAGAAATGGCTCATGGCGCAGCAGCCAGAGCAGAGAGAGAGATCAAGGGAGGAGGAGGGAGACTGACCCTTCCAGGCCACGCCCTCAGTGACCACCTCCTCGGGCCAGGCTTCATCACATTTGGCTGTAAATTCATCTGTGGACTCATCCCCTGCTGAGTGTCATGCCCCCATGACCCAGTCACCTCCCACAAGCCCCACCTAAGAGCCCATGAGGCTTTGGGGAGACATCTAGATACAAACTGTAATACTCTCCACTGAGCCAAGTTTCCTTCCAAGCAGTTGGTACTAGTTGTAGGTTCTTCTTTCCCATGTCTTTTATTTTTACTTATTTTATGCAAAGCAGGAAACAACTTTGTTTTTCCCACACTGCAGGTCTTGTAGGATAAACAAACCCTTCATCATTAGAGATTTAAGAACTGAGATAGAATCTAACATCAAGACGCAAGCGTGGCAACTGTTAGTTGCTCTCCTGCCCCAGGTCTGGAAATCTGCACCAGGGAAGGGCATCCTGGTTGGCTTTGTGCCCATTTCTGTGCTGTACTCTTCCATGCCTCTGCTACCACTGCCCACCTAAACTCTTGCAAAGTGGGGTTTGGAGTGGGGTAGGGGATAAGAGGCAGGAGAAATCTTACTTAGCTCTTGTGCTTTTTGGGTGCAGCAGGTGCCTCTTATGGATTTCCCAGAAAGTCCCCCACTGGGACATTTCCCAGCCCCTCACTGGCCTCAGCAATATACTCTGTGGCTAACCACTCCTGACTGCCTCCTCTCCGTTGTTCCTACTCCACCCTCAGGCAACACCTGTCTGTGTCCAGCACTACTGATTGATTTGGGTTTTATAAATGGCATCATTAGAGGAAGGGAGGGTCAGGTTTATTTCACTTGGCATAATTCTTTTCAGATTCTCGATGGTGTCCTTTTCAAGATCCTTTAAGGCCAGTTACCTCCTGTGGGCGAACAGGGCCCATGGGAAAATCCACTTGTCAGAGACAGGTCAAGGTGCAAGTCCACTCAGGCCTTGCTGTTTTTCCTGTGCAGATCCACCAGGCTCCAGGGTGAGGCCGCCCCAAGCACACAGGCAGGCTCTCCAAGCATGTGAAGGCCTGCTTCACTAGGCCTGAGGACAGAAAAGGCATCTTTGGCTGGTCTGGTGACTAGGGACGCTCTGCAGTTTGCTGGGGAGGCGCCAGCTCCCAGGTGCAGCCTGCAGTGGCCTTCGCTCTGACTGGGGCAGCAGTGGGCGGCTTCCTTGGGTCCCTGTTCCTCCGGTTCTGTGAGATGGCCTAGAGCCTTTCTTTAGAGTACACAATACTCATACACTCTGTTTTTAGCTTAAAGCCCCACTTTTTTTGCATGTGTGTGATGGGAATATTTGAAATTTACTCTATGCAATTTTGAAATGTACAATACACTATTTTATTTCTTTCTTTTTTTTTTTTTTTTTAATAGCACACTTTTACAAACAATTTTTGGTGCCAGGGATCAAACTCAGGTCCTTGCCCTTGCAAAGCAGGTGGTGGAACCACTGAGCTAAATCCCCGGCCCATAATACACTATTTTAAACTAAAGTCATCATGCTGTGCAAGAGATCTAAAAACAACAAAATAAACGGCTATTCTACCTTGTTGATTTTTTTACCCTTTGACCATCAGCTCCTCATTCCTCCCACCCCTAGCTTCTGATAACTGCCATTCTGCTTTCTGCTTCTTTGAGTTCATTTGTTTCAGATTCAACATCTAAGTGGGAATGTGCAGTGTTCGGCTTTCCACACCCAGTGTTCTCC